TAGTAACCGAATCGAGCATTCGCTTGTCCAAGTTAAAATACAACTTGCACCTGCTCAAAGCTACCAAATGGGTTGTCGCCAGTTCGCTGCATTTTCTCGGAGGCACGGAAACCCCACAATCCATGATATGATGATCCAAACGGCTCAAGAAACCGCGAGCAAGTAAAATGTCCTTTCAAAGTGGCAAACCTAGGACAGTGGGTACAACTCATGCTTATCGTACATGACACGTAGTATAATCAACGCTGATATCAGAGGCCAAGCCCAGCTACTTACCCTGTATTTGACCTCCTGTCCCTCCCCTACCTAGCTCGTCTCGCCCAGTACCTTTCTTGAGGCGAGGAACTGCCGATTCCCGCGAGAGACACGTTCAGAGTCTTCCTATACCCTCAAGCCATTCTCCAGCACCTTTCTCCCTCTATCATCATACACAATCGAACTGAAAGCCTCAAAGTCGCCGTTGTCCACCATATAATCATCATCGTCCACGTCAAAGGGTAGCGTGCTGTACAGACCCTTGCCCGGCTCAGGCCACAGAGCCACTAGCGGGTCGTACTCTTCTTCGTCACCTTCCTCTCCGCCTTGGTTTTCTTGGCTCGTTTCTCGGGAGAGAATCACATCTTTTAGACTCTTGCCATTTGGTCCGGAGGAACCCTTGTGTCCCTTTCCATTGCTGTTGTTGTTATTGTTGTAGTTGTTGTTGTTGGACCCTTTGATTGTACTAGTACCCGGAGAAGAACCAGGAAATATCGGCAAATCAGGCTTCACCTCCAACGCAGCCATGATCAATCCCACCAGCTCCTGCGGCGGCAACGTCGACAGATAAGCGCGTTTTTGTTGAGGTGGTTTATCCGCCCAACTTTCCCTCGTCACCACCTTTGCTTGCTGTTGTTGTTGTTGTTGCTGCTCTAGTAGTTCCCGTCTCTGCTGCCCCTTCTTACCACTCAAACCCTTGTTTCCCCCTTCCCTCTTCGCCACACACAGCGAACATACCCAACCCTTGGTCGGATCACGGATGACTTCCGTTTCGATGCGGGGGTCATGACACCGCTGGTGCCACCCTTCGTTGCACCCGTCGCAGAACACCATGGGGTTTTGGGCGGGACTATGCATCCGGGTGCATTTCTTGCACAAGGCTTGCTCGGCTGTGCGCTTGCCGTAGTGGTGTGTTGATGCCGTGCTGCGGTGTTTCTTGTTGGCGGCGTCGACGGCCGCGGGGTTGTAAGTTGTGGGTTTGAGGACTTGGCGGCCGGATTTGGTCATGGTGAGGAGGGAGGTTTGGGTGGTGGCAGCGCCTATGAGGGTGGAGGTGGCGGCGGCGGCGTCTTCGAGTTCAGATACATCCGAGAGACTGGAGAGACTGCTAAATTCGTCCGCGTCTTGTTGTTGTTTGATGCGTTTCCGTCTGTGACCACCGCCAGTGGTGGTGTTGGTGGTGGTCGCGCTGGATTCAGCGGCTGCGGCTGCGGCTTTGCTGGTGTTGGGGGGACGTCCGACAGGGTTACCTGTTGACGTCTTTGCCTTTTTGGATTTACTTTCGGCGGCGGCGGCGGCGGCAGGAGGCTTGGGTGGTTTGACTACCGAGACTTTGCCTGATGCCGTGAGACCGCTGTTGATGTTCTTTATGGCACTCGTTGTGCCGCTCTTGAAGGTTAATGATTTGTGTTTTGGAGGAGGAGGCGGCGGCGGCGGCGGTAGCGGCAGTGAAAGGGTCGTCGAATTCGAACCTGAACCTGAAGCAGCACGTGGTGCTGTCGACGCGCTTGGCAGAGAAAGGTTCTTCTTGACTGTCGTCGTAGGTGCTGGCGTTGGCATCTTGATGCTCGGCCGGACCAGGGGCATTTTTAAGCTCATGGTTGTCGAGGTTTTTATCCCCGTGCCCGCCACAAGCCTCTTCTTCGCGTCCTCGAACGCATCTTGCTCAACCTTGATATGACTGCTGCCCGTTATCACCGTCGTTTTCGATGATACAACTGAACCGAGACTACTACTGCCATCGTTTTTCCCCTCTTTGGCCTTCAGACGCTGAAGGATGAGCTGTGTAGCAGCCGAAAACTGTGGTACGTATGGCCGTGCCGACGTGGTTGATGCGGAGGACGAAGTGGTGGGCCCCGAGCCGGGAGTCACATTCGGCGTTGATGGCTTCAACGTCGGTTGACTTCCCACGTTTGGTGTCTGGTCTGCCATGGTGGTGAAGGTTGGATTTAAAGATAGGTAGGTGTGTAATATGGTGCTTATGATTTAAGCTTGGTAATACACGATCAGTTTTAGTGGTTGGTTGCGACTGACATCTGGAGTATGTGTAGACTCACTAATGATATTATCGTCCTTGTTTATGAACTACGCTTCTGTCGACAATGTCATGAAATCTTTCGTCTAACCGTTATTGCAAAACTCTCCATGACAAAACCTTTCCACCAAAGAGATTTCGAGTCACTGCACATAGGACGAATAGAAGAGGACGGGAAAAGAAATAGGTGGGGGAACCTAAAAAAAGGCGAGAGTTGGAAGGAATGAAAGGCGTCGCGGCTTCCCGAAATGGGATGATGTTCAGAACCTGAGCTGGAATAGTACGGGGAAGCCGGAAGGGCATTGAGTGCAGTTGTAGCTCAGTGTCAGTGTAGCGACAGCATTGACCACGTGAGACGCATATATAACCCTAACCCATCCGCACGTCAAGGCAAAATTGAAACGATGTTGAAGGGACTTCATTTTGTGATGCTGCGCTAACAACTAACAAACTCGACAACTATTAACCACCATCTATACTTACACTACCACGATAGCCATCACCTCACTACCCCCTTTTCCCTCAGCTGGCGTATTTTCTCGTCGCTCAAGCCTACATGATTCCTCAAGACCTCGTCGGTATGCTGTCCTAGCGTAGGTGGCGGACTTTTAATCGTGGGAGTTGTCTCCGAGTACTTGACAGGCGAGTTCACCATCTTGATGGGCCCACACTCTTCATGTTCTACCTCAACCACCATGTTGCGAGCAAGGGTATGCTCGTGAGTGAGGGTGGTGAGAATGTCGTTAATCGCAGCATAAGGCAGCCCTTTACCCTCAAAGACGTCCAGCCATTCCTGAGTCGTCTTGGTCTTTGTAATCTTCTCGATCTCCGCCTCGAGCTCGACCCGGTTCGCTACCCGCTGCGCGTTGATCTTGTACTTTGGGTCATCCTTCCACTCGGGCCGACCCAGGCCGTCGCATAGGATGCCGAATAATCGATCATTTCCTCCGCCAAAGAGAATGTCACCATCCTTGGTTTCGAATGCCTTGTACGGAACAATCGAGGCTATGGTTGTTAGCGGCCCATTGCCCGACAGAAGGGATCAACGTGGGGACACTTACGATGGGCTGTTCCCCACCGGCCCGAGTCCTTCTTTCCGCTGATCAGGGAGCTGCTTGCGATATTCGCTAGGGTGGCCGTCTGGCAGTCGCTCAAGCAAGCATCAATCCATTGCCCTCTGCCTGTTTTGGCACGGGCAAGCAGGGCCGCCATGATACTGTTGCTCGTATACAATCCGGTGGTGAGATCCGTCACGGCCACGCCGACCTTGACCGGCGGGCCATCCCTATTACCGGTGATGTGCATAAGGCCAAATTCGGCTTCCACCATAACATCGTAGCCAGCCCGCTTTGAGTACGGCCCAGTCTGTCCGTAGCCGGTAATGGATGCGTAGATGAGTGCTGGGTTGATCTGGCGGAGGGTCTCGTAGTCCAAGCCGTACTTCTTGAGCGATCCCGGGATGTAGTTTTCCACGAGGATGTCACACTTGGCCGCCAGCTTCTGCAGTATCTCCACGCCTGCTGGATCTTGGAATGAAAGGGCAAGCGACTTCTTGTTTCGGTTGACTCCCAGAAAGTAGGCCGATTCACCCGGTCCCTCCATGGACGAACCGGACTTGTAGCTGGCATACGGTGGCCCCCATGCTCGAGTATCGTCGCCTCTTACGGGATGCTCGATCTTGATCACTTCTGCGCTCAAAGGGTCTCAGCTGGCGCTCGCGCAATTCAGGGTCGATGGACTCACCCAAGATCTCCTAGAATTTGTGTACAGTAAGGCTGGATGAAAGATCATGTTAGCTCGTCCCAGTGTACGGGTGAATTATCTTCTTACCCCAGCCAGCACTCTGGTCATGTCTAGCACACGATAACCCTCAAGAGGAAGTGTTCCATCCGCGAAACGGACTGGGGAGCTGGCGAAGGAACGACGAGTTGTCGCCGGAAAGGAACGGCTCAGCGCCGAAGCACGGATGGCCTTGAACAAACTGCGGCGCATCATATTGTATAGAGTCTATTACAACACATCGAGAAACAAACGGTCCGTCATAAGCTAACTAGGCCCACGGGAGCTTCAGCCAAGACAGGATGACATGAATGCTACTCTATACCGGCGATCGGTGGAGAATAACGGAAGCCGTTCCTGTTCCTTCCCCGCAATCCCGGGAGTCCAGCCGCCGGATCCCGAGGTTTATAGTGCACCTTCCAGCGCGATTCCGGTATTGAGACGGCAAGCGCCCACAAACTCAGCGGCATCGGAAACGAACCCCACGATGCCGAGTAGTAACTGTTATTCCGGGTGACAGTAGCCGTCCAAAGTAGATATTGAAAATACAGTTAAATACGCTTTCCTGTTACATAAAATTGTTCGACCTTGTGGTGTGATGGAAACGATAGCGGCCATGACCCTATACACCATGTCGAAACAGCTCTATCAAGTCCAAGAGGAGATGAGGAAGGGACATGCGCGCTCTTCAGATACTGAATAGACAACTAGACCACAATTGTTCAACAGAAATGCAATTCACAGCCTCATCAGGCCATGGCTTTGCTCTGTATTAATCGATGTCAACTCAAACCTCCTGCATTGTCGCTAACACTTGCAAAAGGTTGGCAGCTGCCATCAGCTGACCAATCAGAAAGCTCAGTCTCTTTCGCCTGAACGCCTGTCGAGACTTTTCCACGGCGCGTCTTGGGGAGTCCACACCTGTCCCATCAATTACACCTGATATCATCCATCATCGAAACCCATAACCTCACCCACGGTCCATCGCCTTATCTCGACCACATTGCTGACACGACACACATACATCACCCCCCTCAAATTCCACACGATCTAGTCTGAATATAAGAGAAACGAAACGAAAACAACATGGATTACCAGAACCGCGCGGGATCCAAATTCGGCGGCGGCGGCGTAGCCTCCCACTCCGCCACCAACGCCGACCGTCGCGAGCGTCTGCGCAAGCTCGCCCTTGAGACTATCGATCTCGACAAGGACCCTTACATCTTCCGTAACCATCTCGGCTCCTTCGAATGCCGTCTGTGTTTGACGGTGCACCAGAACGACGGCTCCTACCTCGCCCACACCCAAGGCAAGAAGCATCAAACAAACCTCGCTCGCCGTGCCGCCCGCGAGCAAAAGGAAGGCAAAGGCGAAGTCGACCCACAGACGGGTCTCCCCGTCGGCGTCGTCGGCGCGGGTTTCGCCGCTTTGGGACTGGGCGCCGGCGGCGTGCGCAAGAACGTGGTCAAGATTGGTCGCCCCGGATACAAGATCACGAAAGTGCGCGACCCCATCACCCGCCAGCAGGGATTGCTGTTCCAGCTGCAGTACCCGGATATTGCCCCGGGCGTCACGCCCAAGTGGCAGGTCATGAGCGCCTTCAGCCAAAGGGTCGAGGAACCGGACAGGAACTACCAGTACCTCCTGGTCGCTGCGGAGCCGTACGAGACGTGCGGGTTCAAGATCCCGGCGCGCGAGCTAGACAAGCGCGAGGATAAGCAGTTTGAGTTTTGGGACCCGGATAGCAAGGAGTACTGGGTGCAGATCATGTTCATGACGGAGCGCGAGGAGCGCTTCAATGCGGCGCCTGGGTTGACGGGGAGGAGGTGATTTGTTTTATTCTTCTGGTATTGCTTCAGATGAACGGTTATTCTACACCCATGTTCGGATTTGATTGGGGATCGGGAAAATATGCTTGGCGTTTACGGAGTTTCCTGTCATTATTTGGGTCATGTTCAGCCCCAACTCGGCTTCTCGGACGCCCCCACAAAGTCACATAACTGTCGCAGGAGAGCTTTGTGCTATAAAGAAGGTGGAACGGGGGATACCCGATACCCGGAAATTGCGTCAAGGCACAGATCACAATTCGGTTAGCGGCCTTCGTCCAACGGCGCTCTAAATCGGCATCATACAAAGTCCGAAGAAGTTTTGGGCGGACGACCCTTCTGAAGCACGACGATCACCGTTGAGCAGGTATCGAAAAGATGGCTCCAAACCCCTTGCAACGGCACAGGAGATCGGGACATTTGGTACGGACGGAGATATCAGACAAAACCAGGACTTGAACGATACCAAATTCACCAACAGAAGGGACCCTGAGATTGTTGTTGTAAGGATATGTATATACAGTCTTGGAGTTGCGTGTTCCCTCCTAGCTGACACATGAAACAGACCCGATGAGTGGACATTACGCCCATTGTCGCCTTCTTTCATATGCCCCCGTGAGTATATCGATTTTCTTCATTGCGTGATAATGTGAAGTGATTTGCATGCTGTCGGTTTGTAACCAGCCACTCACCACTTTACCTTTAAAGATGGAGTTTGTTTGCATGCTGTCTTTCTAGCGAAGCAGGCCATATGGGCAGGTTTGCCATTGTAGCTCGTAAAACTCTGGCAGTGAAGTTATAATCCCAATGGTTGGATCGCCTATGTACAATAGAATATACTATCTTGACTATGTAAGTAAACAGAGGTGAGGAGCGCTGCACTAACAGCTCTCTCCCATCTTGCCTGTAGTGCATGCTTCCAAAGTCCGAACCCATCCAAAGACCCCTTTCGACCAAGCTCAGATCTGCCTTTTGTACATCATTGTCGAGAGCAATTAGAATTGCAAAAAAAAAGACAACTGCACTAGCAAGGAGAGGCAAGCGAGCCGAGCCCCGGGAAGGGCTTCGATCCTGCAACAAAACCAAAACCACAACGACACGGAGCCCAGCAAATTCGCAAGCCCTGCAACATGCAAGGGTTGTCGGATCTGGTTGGACCGGTGACTCGGAAGTATCTGTAAAAATCATCACCGCAAGGTTCTAAGAGGTCTTGGACTATTCTCGGATTCGGATTTGGAAGCAAGCCATCGAGCGGGTGGACTGAACTCAGTCACTAGGATCGTGATTCTTTAAGAGATCAGGGTGGTTCCTTTCACCCTTCCGCTTTCCATCTTGGCGGTTCTTGCGCCGAATTGAATCTGTGTTTGTAGGCGTCAGTCAGAAGTTTTTCTTTCATCACGATGAGTCCCAGAAAAAGTTGTCAAACTTACGGCCCTTTTCTTCTCCTTCGCCACGCCTTCCATACCCAACTCTAGAGCAAGCAGCCTCAAAACTCGCTTGCCAGGTTCGACTTCCCCTCCCTCGTTCTCAAAGTCACACTTCTCCCACGCCGGAGTGTCCATGGCCCACTTCACCAGTCTCTCGTCCAGATAAGGAAACCTCACCTCCTTACTCCAGTGAGACATGGCCCGATCATCGCGACCAAGGTTCCGCTTGCCCAGACGACCCACGTCTAGCAAGAGTTCATCAACAAGACCGGCATATCCGGCCCTCTCATAGGCGGACGGGTGGCGGGAATAACCACCGAAGAGTTCGTCGGCTCCCAAGCCGGACAGAAGGACGCGGGCCGGGGAGGTGTACTCCTCTTCCACCCAGCCGTCTAGGTGGGTGCACGCGCCTTGGCCGCGCGCGGCGAAGTAGAGGGCGTAGCCGATGGAGAGATCCATTTCGGTGTTGTGCGGATAGATGAGGGAGATCACCTGTTGGCGGTGGGAAAGGGTTTCGGTATAGGGGACGTTTACCTGGTGAGTAGGAAGAGTGATATGTTAGAGAGAGATGGATCGGTGCGAATGGAACATGGTGAACGGGAAACCAAAAGGATGAACAACAACTTACAGCTACAAACCGGAAGGCCCGTCCAGGACAGACTCTCTGCAGCTCGGCGAACGACTTTCTGCCAGTGATTCTGTCGGGACAGGCCTCGTAGAAGTCGATGCTGTCGACATCGACCTCACCATTGCCGCCGTTGTTCTTGGCATGATCCTTGCGAAGCTGGGCCACAACGCGCGGGTTTTCGAACGCCACGTTCAGGAGATCGACCCCTTGCTCCGGGTCCATAACCTCGTGTGCTAGTCTCGCAAGAACAGTGCAATCCAAACCTCCGGAGAAGAGAACCGCGACGCGAGTGTCGTGTGCTACTCTGTCTGCATTCGGAGGCTGCGGAATGTTGAGAACGCGCAGAGACAGGGAGTCGATAAGTTGTTGCTTCAGCGCAGCTACCGAGGGGGAAGTTGCTGACAGTGGCGCGTAGCCCGAGGCGGGTGGGAGAGACTTGTTAAATCTGCCGATGCTGGAAACCTGTAAAGAGAGAGTAGTGAGTTTGAACAACACCCTTACCCATGTATAGCCATGCCGCGCGTATTCCCAAGATATGAAATTCAACAACACAGGAAAAGTCACAGGCGGCAACGCAAGGTACTCACAAACTCGGCGGGGTCAACACCCTTGATCCAATCCCTTCGCATCGGCTGCAACACCGCGGATGTTACACCCTCGCCTGACAAAGGCAACATGCCCAAATCAAGCACATAAATCCCATCAGCCTCCACTTCCTTCCACCCGTTGGCGTTAGTATCACCACCACTCAACCCCTCCGCAACACTTGACAACACCACCTCTCCAGTCCGCTCATCCCTCTTCATCATAAGCGACCTCCTTCCCAGCCGGTCCCTACCAAAGAAGACTCTCCGGCCCGCCTCATGCCAGTAAACAAAGGCAAACGGACCTTCAATGGCTCGGAAGACATCCAGGATATGCTTTTCCTTCTCCTCTTCCATCGAAATAGGAGTAGTAGTCACAGAAGCACTAGCTTCCACCCCTCTCAGCATCCGCCAAATCTCCTCTCCATCGTTGCCACTGACGGGTTCACCATTGATGCGCCAAGCCTCGCCGTTCCAGCAGAGCACGGAGCCTTTGTCCGCGTCTGGGTCGGAGAGCGGCTGCTTGGCAATGTGATCGCCGCGGAGGGCGAGGACGGTGGATGTGAGCTTTAACGTCCAGCACTCCGATGAGTCGTTGTTGGTTGAAGAGGTGACGCGCCTTTCAATCTGGCCGAGGTAATCTGGACCGCGGTTGCAAAGACACCGAGTCAAGTCTGAAGAGACGATGTGGGTGACGCCCGGGGGGGTGAAGACGGCGTGGATGCCGCACATTGTGGGCGGAGTTGATGGTGGGAATGAACACAGAAAAATGGAGGGTTTAAGAGGGGTGAGAAGCTGTCGTGCAGTTGAGATTTGGCCAAGCAGCAACGCGAAGTTGTAGGCCAATATGTGCATAGGACGTCCGTGCGTTGTAGGTGCGATGAAGTGCTTAGTCAGCGGACTGGAACTTGCGAGCCGCATTCAACTGCGTCAACAAGATGCATGAATGTCAGTCAGGAAGAAGGCCTTCGGACATGAGATTGTTGATCATATGGTTACTGGAAGTGAGTGGTCTGATGGATGCAGGGTTTGAAGCAGACAGCGCCACGCAAAAGAGTCGAACCAAAAAGAATGAAAAAGGAAATAGGAAATCCCGAGACAAGGAAAACAGGTCGTGAGACCTTCGACACCGAAGAACAGAAGTTCAGAAAAAAAGAAGATTTTAGCTGCAACTCGTTTCGATCGAGTGACCTCCGGGTTATGAGCCCGGCGCGCTTCCGCTGCGCCATGCAGCTTTTGAGATGTTGTTGAGTTCTTATCTGGGGACAAGCCTTAAGATGGCGTGGATGACTGAATGAGTCATAACCAGGGTGGAAATTCCTCATGTTTGAGCCGAACACGGAACGCAACACACAATAGGGTAGCAGACAGCGAACAAAGGCACCACCAGCCAATGGTATCAAAAAGTTTTCAGTAAGTGGTCTCTAATCATGTATTGATAAGTGGTATCTCAGGCTGTATTAATTCAATGACCCCCAACCGTACGTTTCCATACTCCCAGCACCTCAATGTCAAGACTCATTGAGCCCTCCAAGGCGCCAACAGGCATTGCGAGCGTATCATCGACTGCTGCATTCTTGTCGAGTGCTCCATGAAAGGATGGTGTCCATCTTTTCCTGGTCTGGCCTTGGCCAAGCCAACTTTCACCATTGCAAGTCTTTGTCCATTTTGTTATGCTGACAGGGCGAGACAAGCGTCGACGGCCAAACCAACCCTACGAGAAAGCGTGAGCTAAGCTCCTCGGATTATGTGAAAAGGGGCAGGAATACTCACCTTCCTTCCTTCTGATACACCACATCGCTGATTACTTCGCGATCGAGATCCGGAAACATGCCTGCGAGTGTTTCCACTACGTTGGCATGTTCAGCACGGAACAGTCGTTGTGCCTCAGCAGCTTCGGCACTAGCTTGTCTTGCAGCCGCCTCTTCAGCAGATAATCTCTGACGACGAGCCTCCTGCTCTGGTAGAGGCGTGTGGGCTGGGCTAGGGACATCTTGGTCTGCTGACGAAGATGCCCCTTCGTCAGAGAAGAATCGACCGATGGTGCTCAAAGGCTTCTGGATCGTGCTTAGCAGTCCTGCTATAGCCGCCTTTTCCTCATTCGCACCATATTCACTGCTTTCTCTGACCTCATTGGAAGAGCTAGATCGGCGCGGTGTTGCAGGACCGCCAACATCAAGTGAGGCCCGGACTTGTGATGACTCTCCAGCACTTAGCATTGGCACGGCGGCTGACTTTTCAGACTGCTCTGGAGGTGGAGGTGATTCGGCCCTATGCTTTTCCGCAATGGCAGACACTGCCGCCTCGACGTTCTTCTCAAACTCCTCGTCCGTAATGGTGAGTGTCGTTCGATCCATGTTCTCAATGAACTGAATTGCTCCCATCTAGAAAAAGGTTAGTAGGTCAGAATCGGACAGCGTCGTGCCAGTAACTTACTAGAGAGGAGAGGTAGTAGCCGGCTTCTCCGCCGAGCTTGTCTTGATTGCGGAATCTGAGGATGTATTGGACATTAGACACCAAGTGTTCTGGGTTGGCTTGAAGCACGACATAAATGAGCATCGGCATGAACGAGTCCGCCGACCCGTCCGATTTTGAGTGCTTAAGGAGACCAAATATAACCTTGCAGCAGTTCAAGACACATATTATCTTGTCTCGCGGTGCGCGGTATGACTTGATCTTCAGGAGCTCTGCGGTTTTGTCAGCGATAGCCACACATCGAGAAGCCATGATCGTTTTCACCTTGTTGTGCCAGCTTGAGGAACCGTTTGCCGCTTTCACTAACCGGAGGAATATCGAGATGTTCCTCTTTTACCCAGTGGTAAATGTTGATCTTCTGAGAAAGAACCTCATCCCGTTCAACATCTTCCTGGTGCTGTCCACGCCGCCCTGGTCCCATTGGCCGTTCCCCACGCCGCCCCTTGTTTTTGGCGCCGGGAATCGGTTGTGGTGGAGGTATTGCGGGAGAGAAGGTTTGGGTATAGAGCCGGTTCATGACAAGCTTCTCCATTCCTTCCCTGGCATTGTCGAACTCGGCATCTGACACGCTCCTCCATACCTCGCACTGTGCCATTTTGTTTGAAATGAAGGCGAGGAAGTCGCTGATGATTTTGACCTGCTCATGGACCATCCATTGCCTCTTCCCGAATTCGAACAGGAAAGACTTTAGGTATCTTGCAACAGGATCGGCCTTTTTGTTTCGGAGCTGTTCGACGAAGCGATGGAAATCGAACGGTAACGGCGGCTCGGGCTCTGGCTCGGGAGGAGGAGGGCGATGAAGTGAGGTCGTGGGAGACATTGGCGTTTCCAGGCTCTGAATGCTATGGCGTTTTTGAGCCTGTGATGGACTGCCACCGGTATGGAATGGGTCATCTTTTGGGGGGACTGGGGGAGCCAGCTCTTCCCTGCCCTTTTCCTTGAAAGGCGTCGTCGCAGAAGATGTGCTTGACAAGCTTAAGCCTTGCAAGTCCTGGAGTTGTTGGACCATGGAGGGAGCAAGTGGTTCGAGGCTCGATTTGCGGGGCGGATACTGTGCGGGACTGGCCAGCAAAGGCGACGCCATCTCTAACCTGGGGCTCATGACTTCCTCTGCGCCGGGACCTCCACCTCCTTCGCTGAACTGCTCCATGATGCTCTGCAGCTCGGACCTGGACCCGCTCTCACGCTCGTCGTCACTTGCATATTTCTTATCATCGTATGCGGCGTCCGACCTAGTGGGTGATACGCCGTCGGAGCCGGAGCCACGTCTCGAGCGCGGAGGAGCTGTAGAGGGGCTTCGAGAAGGAGGTTGCGAGACGGCCGGGGTGGGTGGAGTGGGGTCGATGTACGTCCGAGATTCAATCGTAAGGTACTGCGTGGCAGTTGTTGTGGTTGGAGAGGTGGTGGGCTTTAGGGTAGCAACCGAAGACATCAAGTCCGTCTCTTCATGTTGGGTGTCATTCGCATCCTCTCGGTCCACTGTGCTCGGGTCAGAGGCAGTCGCGGGCGTCAATGACGCGACTACCACCTCTTGCTCGGAATCGGCGGCATGCGTAGGGGCATTTGGGGGGATGCCAAGCTGGCTCTCGGAAACGGATGTCTGGTCGTGAGGCGACATGCAAAAGACTGGAGCGAGGACGGCGCGGTAGGCGTTGATACAAAGTGCCGAGTCGCAAGTGTTGATTGGGAAGCCGAACGTGGGCTTGTCGGGTTCGGGCAGAAAGACAGCAAGCACGTGTGGGTTCAAGCTAGCTGCGCTTTGCTAAGTGTAGAATTAGGGCGAATCTATCAAGATTTCTTCTGTTTCAGTCGGCAGAATGACCAGTCCGGAACAGCCGTACGTATGTGGATGTGTTTAGGGGCGATCGTCGGGGAGTTGGCCGCGCAATGAAAACAGAGTCTCTGTCGACGACAAGGAAAGTGTCAGCGTTGCGGATTTGGCCAAATGTTGGGGTGGATGAAAAGCAGGCCCGGAGAGAATGTGTACATGTCACGAATTCGAGAGGTCGAGTTCTGCTGGTGTACGGATGGATACATTGAGGCGTGCGGGCATGTCGAATCCTCTACGTAGTGTATGTTGCTGCGCCCATGCCACCATTTCCTGGCTGCGGTCCTGTTACAGACAAGACAAGGGGCAGGCAAGGCAGTTAAGGTGCGGCCCCGCAGCGCTAACTCGATGAGCAATTAGCGTAGAGTGATTTCCATACATAGCGCATTATGCCGGTCCGTGCACAAATCTCAACTGCCTCGGCCGCCCAGCTGCACCACCCGCACATCATCCACTGCAATAATGGGACGGGTGTTTCACAACAGGGGACGATTTGATAAACAGCGTATTAAGGGATTGATTGACTTTCAGAGTTCTAGTGTCATTCGCGACTATTCTCCATCATTTTCGATCACATTCACAAGCGAGTCCGGGCTGCCCGGCCTACATGCTGAAGGAGCCCCGCCACGCCCGGTAGCGTCTCCGGCGGGAGCTGGATCTTGGCAGGGCTGAACGGCTGCCCGAGCCCCGGCTTTGTCTCGCAGCCCAGGACCCACTCGAGCCATGGCACGCTGTTACGTACCGGTGCCGGCCCGGACAACCGTCATGGCGCAAATCTCCCGACTTCAACTCCGTACATATAGACATTCCACCATCTTGGACTCTTTTTTTAACACATCCTCAAATCAAGCCGTGAATGCTACCACACACCACGACTCCAACCAAGATAACGAACCATATAAGGCCTCGAGCCTAATGCGACCCATCCTCTAGCTTTTCTTGTGTCTTTGGCTGAAACTCGGACAACACATTCGCCAACAGTCAACTGACTTTGATGCGATTAAAGTAGCCCAACCTAGCGTAACCCACCAAAACGCACCAACAGGCCACTCATGTCACTGTGCCCACACGTCAAAAGACGATAACGAAACATCATCACTTTGGCATCATGTAAGTCGGAACAAATGTTTGACCACGTCTTTCGAGAGGAACGTCCAGAGAACCATTGCACGCTTCTTTCTCACTATCGCCATTTTACGCTAGCGGATAAGTCCAGCCAGCCCTACTGCGGAGGCGACCTCATCGCAGGCCCCAAGGCTCTGATCGTCCTCTTGATGAATGCTTCGAGAGCCAAGGCTTTATGGAACTCCACCCACTCGTCTGAGCCATATGAAGGGTTCATCTGCCTTAGCGTGTCGGCCCTGGTCTTTGCCCATTCCTTCTGCTCTTCCAGATAATTCGAGACGAGCTCGCTGCGTCTTTCGATTAACCTCTCCAGGCGCTCACGGCGTTCAGTTTCCTCCCTCAGATCGTGTCGGGCGGCCCTATACCGCCTCTCTAGCTCTTCCAGGCTTGGAGTGTCGCCGGGGAAAATTGAAGAGTGCCGCGGCATCTCGACTGGTAGTTTCTGAAAGGATATAAGTGGGTTGAAGGCTGGTCTACGCCAGTGACTACTTGGGCGGTGGGTTGTTAGTATAAAGAATGACGGGAAAAGGTAGAGGTTTATTCGAAAGTACCTCGTGCTTCAAGGGGTGATGGAGAGTGACTTTGATGATTACGATTTTCAACCAGCTCGCTGAGGTATCTGACCTTGCGGCTATATACACAATGTGTGCGACATACTCCTTTCCAGTATGGCACAGAGGAGCCTCGCCCATCACTCATGTATCCTCACTCGGTTTGCTCTGTCTCGGTCGTTGTCAGTCATTGAAACAACTGGCATGCCATAGGTCACAGATTTGCGAACTCTTGATGGCTTAACTCCTGATTTCAGACGATTGTGTTTTACCTCTGTCGGACGGAAGTCGAAACATACACAGGAAACCCGCCATGACCGTTCACCGCCAACGCTGTATCCAGATCATTTTATTCCTACCACGCCCTGTCACAGGAGTTTGGTGAATGCCGTGAATACTTCATCGTGGCTTCGATGCCTGCTTAAGAGGATGAAAATGACTAAAGAATACTCGAGCTAGGTAAAAGCCTGTCCACTCTCGTACCACCCAAATGACACACCACCAAGGGCTTGAACTCTATGTAGTCCTTAATTTGCTAAACTTGAATCGCCCTCCGTTTGTCTTCAAATCCATCCGACCAAGTATCCCTTGCACTGCAGCCCATGTAGGCTGCCTCTCTCACATCACATGGGTGAGAATACTCGGGTTCGTAAGAAACACCGATTGTCTCTCCTTAGCAATGTTGCCGTTTGTTCTTGGTGAATGTTTACAGCAATAGAAGCTCAGGAAAAGTCACTCTCCGAAGGGCGTAGTTCAGTCTCCGAGTAGCAAGTGATTTGTTGTAGCTTCAACGACATTTCATCCCTCTCTAGGCTCTGGTCACGGGCTCAAACGACTAGCTCATTCGAATAAGCATGTGCAACTTGCGAATCTCATGGGATAATGACAGCTACTGAAAACGCAATGGAAGAAGGAGAAATGTACTGGAAGAATAACCTATTGATATGGCATGCCCTCAGACTAGTATGTATCTGTTCTTTTACCGTCATCAAAGAAACACATACAACCCAATCCAAACATCAACAATCGAGCGCCTCTCGTCATTTACATCAAACTTCAAGCCAATTCATCCAAGACAACTATCAGTATGGATTTTTCAGAGGTCGTGAGACTTCTAGAAGACACAAAGCGCCAGGAAGCTCGGAGAAATGTTGAGCGTCTCCTCAACAACCCTCCGTCTTGCCAACCACCCTGGGGAAAAAACCTCAAAGAACTAGTCAAATGGGCCACGGAGTATGTTGTTCAGGAGAACCAACCTTGTAAAGACAAACCCCACAGAGCACATGATAAGCCTAAATCAGAGAAGAAATCGCAATCTGAGGCTTCAACATCGCAACATGACTCCCGGGAAAGATGCAAAGTCCAATCAGAACAAGAGCCAGAGTCCAAGGCACCTGAACGACCGACCCTCAAAATGTTTCAACCCCCACATCTCCAAGATTTCTGGAGCCGCAACCCCAAGTGGGTGACCGACTACTTCGTCAACGCACAGAAGTATCCACGCCTCGAGGTGATTGTTCGCGCCATGGTGCAGGAACATCTGGTGGCGGAACAGAACTACATGTCTACTATCAAGGCGCATGTCAATCCAGAAAGTAACAATGAGAAGGTCACATGCCTGGAAGAGCAAGACGGCGAGGAAGAAAGAGCAACCGAAACAGAAGGAGGAGTAGCGGGAGGGAAAGCAGACGAGAAAACAGGAGAGGGAGCGAGAGAAGGGGCAGACGATCATGCAGATGATAAGGCAGAGGAGGAGGCGGAAAACAAAGCAACAGAAAAACAGGAGACCGGAGACGAAGTCTCCGACGCTGACAAAAAGATCTTATTCCAAGATCTCCAGAATGTCGTCAAACAGCATATACGCCTCAAGGAAATCCTCGACTGCTACTGGGTCATGTCGCACGAGGGCGCTCTCATCCAAGACGCCAACCACATGCTCTTTATGGAACGCCGCCGAGCCTCAACCGCCCCGTCAGAGCGTACTAACCCGGCTCCACCTAGTAACCTACCACTTGTTTTCCCCCAAATCCATCATGGTGCCACCCCAACCCCTTCTTCTTCTTCTTCTTCTTCTCCCCTTTTCAAAACACAAGCCGAAGAAGACGCTGAAGGTGAGAAGTGGATCAACGATCGGGCACTTGATCTTCGCGAGATATACCCTTCATTGTCCGAAGAGGCGGCTAAAGAACTCGCTAAATGTGAGAAGAAGGTTTGTGAACACGCAGATTTCCTTAACGAGTATGAAGAGAAGATGGGTGACCGCACCTTCCTCTTGATGGCCAAGCAGATGGAACTGATGGAAATCGATGAAAGAAACAAGCTCGAGAAGCTTAGACTCAAAGCACAGGAGATGGCGCTTGAGTTGCAGGAGAAGGAGATGAGTGAGAGGGAGAAGGCTTTGAGGGAACGTGAGAACCTCAAGATATTGGGAGTGTGAGTGATGATTCGGTGGAATATGCTGGATGAAGGGAGAAAGAACTGAAGAGTTGAGGAGGAAGGGGAAGGGAAGCTAGATGCCAGATTAGCGTTGGAATTTAGAAGCATGATATGGGAAGGAAGGGCTCAAATTTGAGGGGTTACTGCTGGGCTCACAGTCAAGAGGAGGCAGGGAAGAAAAGGCTTCGATAACTAGTGCGTCCAAAGACTAGAATGTACTCATCATCAGGAGGACATGGCTGAAGGGACCATCTTGGGGAGTATCAAAAAAAAAAAAAAAAAAAAGAGAAAACAAAACGCCGAGGCGGTGATACTCTGCCTGTTGTTTTCCTCTGCATTGTGAAAATGACCAACTCTTCAAGGACGTACGACGACACGCAGAATCGTCAGAGCTGGTGGCTACTTCCGTGGTTAGGAGTCGTTCTCACCCGTGCCTTCCCGCTGTTGGTTGCACTGAAGGTTTCATATATGAGTAGTTGCTGCTTTCACTATGCTCCTTCCTCGTCAACTCAGCCTCTATTTCCCTGGTCGGGTTATCCTTTCCATGCTTTCCACACTAGATTGCTCACACTTCAGACCATCTCAAGAGTCAGTAAAATTTCGCACAGCAGACTGAGAACAGCAAGTCAGAAGCTGTGAAGAGAAACGTGATCTGCCGTGAATTGATAATGGCGAGTGTACAATCCTTGCTTGCACATCGCCATGAAGCAGCATGTGTTTCAACGGCAGACACCGGACAGTGACTGTGGCAGTTAACTTTGTGGATTAAGTGAGATTATCTCCCACTTCGCCTCCTGCTTTTTAATCTCTCGCCACGTTCCATTGTTTCAATTCTAGACCAAATGGGATCTTCCACATCTCACCACTTGTCATGAATCTGTAAATGTTTGTCTACGCTCCATCGCTTGTGTGGCTGTTATGGGCAGGTTATCGAGAAGGCGTTGAATGAGTGGCCAGGCATCGCATCGAAGAGATGGAAGCTCTGGTTCAATTGCACGGCTCAATTTGAGGAAGTGTCTGACTGTAGCTGATACATACTCTTTCCACTTCTTCTGTATGTCGAAGCTTGACAAGTAGATGAAGAGGATTCGAGCGCAAGTCATCATGATCACGAATAATCGTGAAGCTCTCGGAAGCCGGTCTCATCCCTCTTCCCAAATCGGGGTTCTATCGGATATCCAGAACTGAATTACTCAACCGCTCTCAGCCGATTATCCGGTTACATGAGCCAGCAAATACCGTCTTGATATGTAGACTTGATGCAAGAAACGTATTGTCAGTAATGAATGATCGACGTCACTGAGCAGCGCCCGACTTTCTTTAACTCGTCCGCAAATCCCGATGCTCTCCCGATGTTGGTTGAAAATCTTTGCAAATGCGAATCAAGTGAGGGAAAGCACATGTTCTGCCGTCTCGAGATGCCCAGACCACGCAGATCGGTTCTATGCAAGCTTGTGACCCGCTTCTTATTTTGGCGAACTTCGTTCTGACATTGGTACGGCAGTGAGAGTATCCCATGAATTTGACCAGCATCTGAAGGACTGCCCTTGTGCAGAGGACGTAGATTGTCCTGCGTCCTGTTCAAAGTTCTCTACTCGCAATGTAACCTTCTCGAAAGCGAAGAACACACGATTGTCCCTCTGTGTCGAGGTAGCCAGCTAGTTTCGGTCCCGGTATAGAGACTCATCTCGCATAGCGACGGTTCTCGCGACGGTTCTTGAGGGGTTTCAAGACAACAGTTTCGATAGTTTGTTTCCTGCCGAATTGCGTTTGGGACACATTGCCAGTGCCAATTGAGTACCCGGCAAGGGCATCAGCCAAAGAAACAGAGAAGAAAGTCCGTGATAGACGCCTCTGACTGACACACACCCAACAGCGACAACGGCTATTCGTCTGTCAGAAATGACAGAGCCCGGTAAACACAGCAGCGCATTTTCATGGAGTAGTGTGATATTTTTGTGCAAAGAAGGGTGTAATCTGATCCCCAATCTCTGGTAGTCCCCCCAAGTCAGGACAGGAAAGCCCCACTCCTAAGGGTGCAATAAACCAACGTTAGGCAGGCAGGTGGTAACCATAGGCAGGAGATCGGTCCAAACAGGTGACTTGCCTCGATATTCCGCATATTGCCTATATTCTGCCACATCCTCGCCAAACCACTCGGCCGCTTTGATAACAAGGAACGCTGAGCAAGAGCAGGGACGCAGTGATTATTGATGCCTCAGCCGAAAGCCGACGCCTGGAGAAATCGTATTTTGAGCCTTCATGAACGCCTTGTGTTGCCTTGAGTCTATGACAAGGCTCCGGGGTTCTTCCTCGCCATTCACTTGGGCATCGAGCTGAATCTGTAGGCTTCAGAGATGCTCCCCTTTACCTCTGGTGTGGCTTATCAATGCGTAGTGTACCTACGTCTAAGACATCTCAGATTATCATTGGTGGACATCAGGTTCAACATGCTCAACTCAGAGCTTGACCTCGGCGAGGAAGCGCAAGGTACCTACTGCATGTACCTATTTGCTCGGTTGCCCAAAAGGGAGGTCCCGCCACGGTTTGATTGGGCACAAGACCGCGATAAAAGTTGTACAACATCAGGTATCATTGGACGTCCACGATGCACCCGATACACTACCTCTTCCGCTGTCTATGGTGACCGTACCGGTTAGCTACAGACATTGCTGTACGCAGTTCACCGAAACAAAGGGCTATCATCACGTGTGGCTTGACAGCGGATCGGGAATCTGAAGAGACCTTGCGAGTCTCAAAGTCTGGGACACTGCTGCTGAGGACAACTTGAACCAAAGTCATATGCTGAGATCGACGTTCACGCCAAGGTGAGGAAGCATAGAGGACATCAGAAAGAGACCTGAGCACCTGAGGTACCAGCGTCACCTGAGAACGTCGCTGCAGCGACGATGGATGCTAACGGGATTGCAGTCCAATCCCAGAGCCGCAGAGACGTGCCTATAACCACCCCATATCAAATTGAGTAGTCTACAGTAACGGGATGTCCATGCATGCATATATGCAAAATCCGGCAAGGATGCCTGTGACGGATAGAGGCATCCAAAGATTTTGCGAGCGAGAGCACCACGCCAATCACCTCAGGCTTGGCCGTGAAGGATTGCCTGCCCTTTTTTCTTTTCTTTTTTTTTTTTTTTCTCTTCTTCTTTTCTTTTCTAAACGGCAACATGGGGTCATCAAATTGCTCGAGTGTTTTTGTGATACGCGTTGTACATCTGCATCCAAACTTTCTCAGGAGTTTAGTTTAAGAAGCCCCTGAAGGCGTGCAGGACACCAGCGATGTCGGTTGTCGTCCGGTACGCCGGGACGTGTTCAATTTCTGATCACGGCAACGTGCCACTGGTTCAGCAAATGCAAGATCGGGTGCAAAAAGCAAGAGTTCTTTGGGGGGCAGGTGAAATCGAGAGCCATTTTGACGTCCCGGCAGCTGGGCCGAAGGCATGTGGTCGCTGCTAACTCCAACTCCAACCCACCTCTTGCTTCCGGGTTGGTGGTCTTGGTCGGGGCCCGATATTGTCGGCGAATGAGAGGTTGACACACAGTCAGCGCCGTGATGGTCCGATACGGGCGAACCCCACGGCCCTCACTAGTGTACTGCGACACTAGAGCCTGCAGAGCGAACAGTCGGTTCCAAGTGCGGAGAATCGGCGACCTGCGCCAAGCCGTATACGGTGGTGTCCAGTAGGTCTCCAGTGTGCCGGCCCATGGAAGCTATCGCCATTGAGGCTAGGGGAATTGAGTTGGCTGAACCAGGTCAAGCTTGAGCCGGCGGCTAACCTTGTTGAAACAACAAGGGCTGTGATTTTCTAGGCGATCGGAGGGGCTTTCCGCTTTTTCCCTATAAAAAAAAAAAAAAAAAAAAAAAAAAATTGGAGCTGGACCTTAGGGATTGAGGACTTTGTAAGTATGTTCGAATCTGAGTCAGCTATGATATCGTTACGAAAGTGAGAAGCGCGTCAAGGTGGCTCTGTCAATCGAGCTCGGTCTCGTCGGGAAGCTGGTGGGCTTGGTGGCTCTCTAGATGGGCCTGGATGGGGGGTGTTGGAAACGCGATAACATGGTCATCTTGATGCGCATGAGGGGCAGCATATGACATGGCAACCCAATAAATCTTGACGCATCTGATGCTGAACGGGTGACGAGAGGATTCAAGTGATTTTCCAGAAAGGGAAGATACCCCACGGTTTGTGGGCACTTTTGTCCATTCACACTTTCACTAGCCTCGCTGAAGAACCGCCTCACTCTCGCAACTGGTAGCCGTGCTCGTGTGGCTGGAAGGGTTGCTTTCACAACGGCGCCTGGGCACTTGAGATGGCTTCACTGAGTGGCCGAGATGGTTGTGGTTGGGCATCTGGGCATCTACCAGGTTCCCGAGTGGTTCAGCCCTTGGGCTTCATCAGTTCCGGCGGCCGTTCTGACTTGTGAGAATTGCTGCCACGTACAGCCGGGATTACATCCATGCGCCTGCTAGGCGTTCTGTATTCTTCCGGGCCGCTGATACCATCGCCCTGATTGGCATCCAATCCCCTCAGCAACCTGACTCCAACCGACTGGGAAAAGCGCCAGTTGTTAGCCGCTGTTAATCACCAGCCGGAAGGACGCGGTGTCCGCCGCTATAGGATCTTATGGGTCCGCCTCGTTGCGCTATGCAAAATGCCATTGTTAGGAGCTGTTAGTACGCCAACCACCAAAATGCTGGTCTAGGTTCAATAGACAATAGAGAGAAACAGAGGTCTTGGGAAAGGTATAATGAGTGCTGGGAGTAAGCTGGCTAGAGTATGTTTACAGTGTTGGAAATGCGCTGGCCGATGTTAGGAATTGGCTGTATGAAGGCGTTCCCTTGGCAGGATGTCGCGGTACGGATGTCAAACAGGCTTGACGGTTGCGGGTTTCGGGATATGCAAACGGTGGGAAAGACGGTCCCAGTATCATGAAGCAGAGCAACAGCGGCATTACGTCGACGTGAAGATTCTTCGGGCCGAACTTGAACCTTTATACTGCGATGCTCCATGGCAGGTGCTGGTACAGGTAGTGTACTCATCGGCGATGGCTCGTGGTCAAGATCATGGCAGATCTCAACGAGCGATACTGACGGGACATTGTGGACATGGACCATTACGGAGCCTGCAGTCTGTCCATGCCATGATCCAGGCGGGATGAAACCGAAACGCGATGGACGCATCCACTGCCGAAGTGATCCATGTACACTAGCTAACAAACAGGGAGAAATGATCGATAGAAAAGTCTGTCAAACTTGACACGCTTATTTTTTATATGCTCGTTGACAGCTGACGGGAGCTGATGTGAGCCCAAGCCCGTACAACAACAGGTTTTGTGTAGCATCTTCAGAAGGTGCAAGAAGAGAAAAGTGAGTGTGCTTACCTAGCAGGTTGTCTGACCACCGACAAAAACACAGCCTGAGACATTTGCTCTTTCCCAACATCTAGGTAGGTACCTTCGGGGAAACCCATCAAATGGGGAAGGCATGATGTCCAGTCTAGTGTAGGTAGTGTAGATTGCACTATCTCGGGGTGGTAAGTAACACCCCAGGTAGGAACTGAACTGAATAACCCCAACTTTTCTCGAGCTCTAATTTGGGAAGGGACTGATGTGAGAGAGAGGGGAGCAGCCGCCATGAACGGAATTTCTCTTTCCTTTTTTCCTTGACTTTTACTGAGACAGTCGGTCGAGTTCCTCTCTCGTGGCCGTGGCGTGCGTGTCCCTTCCTTCCTTCTCGTCAACCTTTTGTCTCTAGAGTAGCGTCGTTTCAACAGCCCACCTCGCACGTCGAGAAGCCATCAAGGTGCCGACAGGGTGCATGTGCGCGGGAGAAGGTGGGATGTGACAGACCCCGAGGCTTGTTGGCACTGGTCGGAACACCGCACGGGTGGATTTCCGCTGCTGTCATGGCTTCGCTCTACTGCAAGAATTTGACGCACGACAAGACCGCATGCTGATCTGTCTGTATACGTGTTAGCTATCTCGCCTTTCTGTCCATACATTTGCTAACAGACCACCCTCAGGTCTTGGCATGCTAACCAAGCAGTCTCGCAATCGCTCCACCACTGCAGAAGTAGAAGTGCAACCTCGTCCACCTGGAGGCAGTGCAGACAGGCCAATCAAAGCAAAGGTGGGTGCTTCGCCAATGGCTGACGGGCCATTTTCTGGCCACTCACTATGCCCTGATCCGAGTCCTTTCTGATTTATTTTAGCCGACCTGCGAGGCCCGACTAGAACATCACCCACCACGACGACGACGTCTTTGCGCCGATTGGGTTGCTGCTGAATGTGCGCTCTATCTTTTACACTACCGAATTACCCTTCATCGCCAGTCGCCCTTTGCCCCAATAAATGGGGAACCGTTCTGGGACAAGTCCGTGATCCAGATGTGGTGTGCTCGTCGTCGTCGTCGTCGTCCTCGTTGTCAGACAACCCAGATCCCCTCGAGACAGATGGCGAAAAGAAAGCCCATTGTAACGGGTTCGAGACAGTAAAAATGGGGAGCCTTCGATCCCCAGAGAGATGGGCCTCGATGTTGCAGGCTGTTGTGAACTTGTGCGCATGTCTTGATCCAGGTCCTGTTGCTGTCTTGGCAGTGAGTTCTCTGAGCATTTCGGCGTCATAACACGGTACAACCTCAAAGTGTACCGGCTCTGCGGCTGTGTGTACGAGGGAGTGTACAGGCAGTTCAATGGATGCCGTAGCCGGTCTTGTTCTCTGACTGTGCTTTGGTTGCCCAGTCACCGTTGCAAGATAGGTGGGAGTGAAGGTTGTTGAGGATCTCCTTGTTGCATGCTCATCATCACCATCACCATCATGATCTTGCTCTCTCCACTGCTTGCTGCAGCTTCAACATTGTCTCCGATATCGATATTGTCCCCGCCTCCTCTTTATACAATTCGCTCCACGCTACTCTGTCCGGGCTGACGAGTCAAATGCCAGTCCAAAAGAGCTTCTGACAACGGCACTCTCACACCAACAGAGCGGGCGAGACAGACGATGCCAACACGTCTGCCCATTTAAAACGCATCTCCCCGCGTTTAATGCCCAAACAGGCCTGGTGCGAAAGGGAGGATGAGAAAATGAGTGAGCAACAATTCGAGCCAAGCGGCTGTTTGTTACCGAAAACACCGACTACGTATCTCGACACTCTTTGGTCTGCACGTCGCAGCCCCGGTTCGTCGTATGCAGCAGACTCTGAAAAGACACTTGGAGCCATTCGCAGTCGCCAATCCCATCCGGTGCCCCTGCCTCCCACTGCTTTCTCACTGGTCTCTCACGGGTCTTCCACTGACGTCCCCTGTATCCCCTGGCCCAGTCCACCACGCTTGTACACTCCAGCAAAGTTCGAGTCTGACAAGTGGACTGAAGAGAATCGGCCCAACCCACAACCCACTTTGCCCACCCTACCGGCGACCCGTTCTCCCCGTCCTGGCCCCGTCCTGCCTCTTGAGCCCCACGCCCCGGGAGCCATCTCCGACTCTCACGCAACATGAGGCCTTTTGATATAAGTCTTGGAGTGCTCCCGTCCCGTCCCACGACCGCTTCTGTTCTGACCCCTCCTCCCCACATCTCCATTCACACAATCAGACCGCAACGTTGAACGTTCATTCCTCTTCACTTCTTCACTTTTCAACACATAGCCAGCCCATACATCCACAACAATGTCGTCAAGTCATAGAAGACAAGGCTCGAGCCAGAGCACTTCCAGTGGCCACTCTCACCAGCAGAGCCACGACTCGTTCGAGTCCCACCTCACTCACTCTACCGCCCCTACTTCGCTCTATTCCACTCAGGACCACTACTTCTCAGACCACAAGGCTATGGGCACGTCGACAAGGCCGGAGGAAGACCTGTATGCTCCCTCTTCTTACCACCACTCGCAACCCAAGCCATATGTCTACCAGGACGATGTCAGCCCAGCCACTTCGCTCTACCCACGTTCCTCGGTAGAGACCTACGCCTCCACGACAGCCTCATCCCAGGATCTCGACGCCATGGACCTTGATGACGAATCACCCGTGGTGGAGGCCGAGGACACCAGCATCCCGCCGCTCCCCACGTACCGCCGTGAACTTGTGGAACCCAACGTCCGGGCAACCACCCCTCAGGATTTCGCCAAGCTCTTCCCCTCGCTCAACCGTCTCTCCATCCGTCACGATGAATACACGTCGGACGGGAACATGAACTTGCGCATCGACACTGTCGTCACTGGCCGCAGAAGAACCGTTTATCAACTCTTCCATCTGCGTATGTACGACTTGGCCAAGCGCGAATTCTCTCTGCGCCGGTACTGCCGTGACTCCGGGCGCGAGGTCTGCAACTCGAAGCGCAAGTACGCCGAGTCGTCAACGGCGGCCAAGGCCAAGTCCAGGGCTGCCTCCAGGGATGATGTCAACAAGAGCCACCACGATCGCCCCAACTTGAAGCGCTCAATGTCGACGGCCATCAAGACGCTCAGTGCTGCGACCAAGTCCAAGCCCGTCCTCCGGCGCACACCAACGTCTGGTGCTGCATCTATTTGCTCCAGCCGACCCAACACCAGCGACTCGTGCTACGGTGACGATGAGTTGTGCAACCACAGCAACTCTTCGCGCATGTCTCTCAGTTCCAAGGGCAAGACGCACCGTGCCGTTCCCACCAACACCATCAAGCTTGAATTCAGCAACTATGCCCGTGTTGATGTGCACCGCCGCGGTGGTAAGAACAACAAGCGGTACGAGTTTGAGTGGTGGGGTCACAACTATGCTTGGAAGCGTTCTGTCGACAAACAGATGGGGGGTCAAGTTTCATTCCACCTCATCCGCGACGGAAACCTCAGCGCCCCGGTCGCCCACATTGTTCCCGAGACTCGATCGCCCGCTCAGGTTGATGCCGACGAGCGCGCTGGCGGGTGGGTTCCCCCATGCTTCATGTGGATCGCTGATGAGACGATCATTGATGCTGTTACCGATGTTGCTGAGTAAGTTTTCCACATACCCGGTAAAAGGAAGATTGGACATCCTCTAATCATGTTTGACTAGTGTTATCATGGCTTCTGGCCTCATGGCTCTTGTCGACGATTGCATCAAGGAGAAGTGGCAGACCTCCAGGAAGGTTCATCGCATCCCCGTGCCATTGACCCACAAGACCGTCAGCCTTCCTAGTATTGACGCCAGCCCACGATCCATCATGCAGCACGTCTTCGGTCGGCGGCACTCGCAAACTCAGTCTCACCAACCTACCCCGATGCGGCTTGATCAACCCATAGCAGCCTGCTAAACAATGTTTTTCACTTCACTAATGGTTATTGCGGTCCTCACCGGTTCAATCTCCTTTGTCAGTATCAACGATAAACTTTGCGATTCACATCGGCTTTCTTTTATTGTTTTACGTTCACCACTTTCTTACGCGTTACGATTATGAGCAAGTTTTGGCGTTATCACAATTGATTTTTACCTACGATTTATCATGAAAAGCGGGAGGATCAAGCATTGCGTTTCCTTTTCTTTTTATGTCTTTCAAGAAGAATCTGGAAACCCAGATTACATGCATATGCGCGGTGTTCATTTTTCTTCAATTTCTTTTTCTCTTTCTGTGGTGGCTCGAGTCAGATGACGTGAGCGACGTATTGCCATGGGCTGGCTTTCTTGCTTTTCTATCTTACGATCTTATGGTTATGACATTAGGAATCAGCATCGCATTTTACTTTCGTTCAACATTTAGAGATGGAATGGCACACAACGAAGCACGGTTGCTGGTTAACTGCTGCGACATACTGGGGTTTTTCCAAAAGAAACAACATGGTATTACTATTACCAACTTTCTAAATCGCGATGGACTGGTTCCCGGGTTTGGTCACTGGATATTCTCTTCTTCTTGTACACCGATCGGGCGGTAGTGCGCGCACTGGGCTGGTCCCAGGTGGCATATCAACGTTTCGGCAAATCGAAAACCGGGGGGGGCGGATGCGGGAGAGAGAGAAGAAGAAAACAGGAGGATGCAGAGTTTGGAAAGATGAAGAACGAGTCGAGTTGATGAGATGTATAGCATATAGTGGAAAACATCGAAATACGATAATGTCTGGTGTTTAAATTGACCCTTTCTACTTACCAACTGACTTTCATTCTCTCTGCATCTCGCTTTGCCAACGTAAGCTGGTCAAAAAAAAGTCACGGGATATGGCACCGCTGAGTGGCCAGTACACACACGCCGCTAATCTGATAGACGCAGGTCTAGAACACGCACACAAATCAGGCAGAATTCAGGGTCGGTTTTGAAGCATAGAGGGTAGGTGTTCAGATCCACATATCGCTCGTCATAGCAGCGGAGAGAGAGCCAAGTAAGACAAGACCCTTTGCGAAAACTCGGTGAGAACCGGTGAGATCTACAGCGGAACTAAGGTGGTATTCAAGTGACGTGAAGGGACCTCTTCAAATCGTCAGCCCAGTCGGGAGCGCAGGAAGGCGGTGGATGATGGCGGAGTATGCTGTGGCTTTTGAAACACTAGCGCGAAAGAAGGATTAAAAAAAAAAGAAAAAAAAAAAAAAAAAAAAAAAAAACGTGGTGTAGAGGACAGAAGAACACGGAAGGAAACGAAAAAAAGGGAAAACAGGGGACGGCCCGCGTCTCTCCATTCCCCACTAAAACCTTCATTGTGACGGAACGAAACGAAACGAAACGAAACGAAACGAAACGAAACATTGCGGGAGCCGTACCCACACTTTGGAACCTCTTCCGTTCGGTTCGCCCGGTTTGGGTTGTGCAAAACGTTGCTGGGGGGAAACAGCGAACCATTCAGAGTTCTGGATGCCGGTTTGCCCAATATGTAAGTTGAAAATCATTGACTGACTAGTGTAGTGTATTGACTTTTTCAACCGGGCCGGATAAATCGACTGTGTGCCCAGATAAATCCCCTGTGTGGAACCGGTCTAGCCAATAATTCACCCATATTCTCGCCCGCTAAATTTCCACCAAAATAACATATATACAACATCTACACCAAAATTGCACAAGGATTTACACAAACGAGGCTTTCTAAAATGCTAATTTACATAAATATGCTGAAATTGTAGAATTTATATTTATACTAATATATATAATCTACTAATATTAGTACTACTAACTCGACTGGAAGAACTAGTACAACTATTAGGATTGCTATTAACTAAATAGTAGCGGCTAGTAAGGATTTAAATATAGCGGCTATTATAAAGGAGGGGGGACATTATTAATTAGCGGGTAGGTTAGTAATATTACTATTATTAATACCCTTAGTATATTAGTAACGACGGCGGGGGTTAAACTTATTATTATTAATTCGTAAACTCTTACAACCGTACTTCTAACTATACTTCTCTTTACTATAACTTTCTCAACTCCTAGAATTATATTTTCAATATTTCTATCTCTAACCTCGCATTCTCTACCGCTACTTTTACCTCCTACTCCCTCTAACTAGCCAATACTATTTTAATTATCCTCTTCTTCTTAGGAAGCTATAAAGCTTTAGGGGGGATATTATAAAATAAATTATATTTAATACTAAAGGAAGAGAGAGGAGGGAGCGCGGGTATAGTAAGTATAGACTAGGCACTATTACGAACCTTTTAATGGTTAATAATAATTAGGAGAGGGTCTCTCTCCTTATATAGTAATAGCCACTCTATAAATAACGGCTAATAAAAGATATAGTTAGTAAACGTATTAGATAAATAATATTTAAGAAAAGGATATTTATTTACTATATTTAGTTTAAGTAACTAATACTTATTAATTATATTTAAAAATATAATACTATTTAACTGTACAATATTAATTATCCTATACTAATAGGGTAAACTATACTACCTCGTAAAGTAAATAGAACACTTTACTTTTAATCCCTCTAAATTAAATTATAAGCGCTTAAAATTATTACTAACTAATTAAGCTTACCATTAGAGTAATTCAAGGTAAACAAAATTAGTAATAAACTTTAAATCCGTTAAAATAGTATATTTAAATTTCGCTATATCTTTTAAGATTTGATACGTGTATTTAATTATAAAATTCTCTTTCAATTATTTAAGGGTTTCGGTAATAGTACCTAATAATTAATTGAAATTAATATAATAATTCTTAAATAGTACTTTCAAAACGCCGTAGGCACCTTCTATACGGGAGGTTACTCGTATACTAAAATTACAATATAATCTAATAGCGAAATAGGCAAACTCGTACCTCAACGGGAGGTAAACATAGAAAAGGTAGTCGGTTATAATTATAAAAAGAGGGATTAGTAATTATATAAATAATAATAGAAAAATATAATAATCGTACCTTTTTACTTAGGGAATTCCCTTAATAATACCCGCTATTACTAATAAAATCCCTCCTCTATATTAGAGTACACTACTATCCTCCACACAGCTAAAATCCTATCTACATTATCAATTTATTTATAATTTGAATTATAAAGAGAATGTCTTTTCGGACCGTCGAGAATGTCTTCAGACACCGTCGCCCCACCCTCCCCGGGCTTCTAGCCAATCAGAAGCACTGTATCCAATAGGCGGCCTACCTTCCACCTTGTAATTGTATTCTTTTATTAATTTCACCTAATAAATCTAAGCATTACATTCTTTCATACCGTACCAAGCCCAGAATCCAGACTATAACTAGTACACGCGTCAGACCAGATTTATAGGGCACTTTACAACGCACTTTATAGGGTATTTAGTAGTACGGTCGTATATTGTACTCAATTGAATTGTTCAATTGAGCGATTAATTAATCGTACTTAATTTATATTAATCTATATATTTATAATCTATTTAATTTCTACCGTATAATCGAACACTCTAACTACTAGCGAATCTCTTTTACTAGGCTTAAGTGCTAATTTAAATACTAGCTAACGTGCCTCTTCCTTTTACTATATTAGTAGTACTAATAGTACTAGTAGTATAGCCTCCTTTACCCTATATAGAACTACCTCCTCTCCCTCCTCTACCCCTTCCTTGTATAGAGCCTCGCGGGCGGCCTCGTCCCCTCTATAATAGAGTAGGGGGCTAAGAATCTACTACATCCTCTACCTCCAAATTAATACCCTCCTATATAAATATATTTTACTAAATTAATAGCGCTACTCGTATTAATACCGTAAAGTTATAACTTACTCTAAACTAGCGGCCGCGGCTAGGCTAGAGGCGAAGCTAGCCCTAATATTGTAATACTCCTATTTAGAATTAAATTAGCGCTATTAATAGAGGGGGAATTTAAATATTAACCGGCATAGTTAATTAAGGGGCGCGAAGATTAGGAATAAAAGGCGCATTGTAGTAGGGTCGACCCTTAAACTTTATTACCTTATTAAAATCCTAATATTTCAAATACTTATCCTTATTATCGAATAATCTATAAAGCTATTAGTAGGGGTAATAATTATATTTATTGAATACGAATAATTAAAATCGGTTAAGAAGGCATTCTAATATTATATACGAACAAGGCAAACCGAATTATATAATAAATTTGCCCGTATATAATTCTAACTCATTAGGGTCTAACTTAACCTTTATTAAAATAATACCGAATATAATATAATATTAACGTACTACCTTATTAAAAGCTCACCAACAGATTACTCTACAAATATCTTTTACTTATAACTAATTAAAATATTTACATTTAGCGCAAACAATCTACTTCTCAATCTCGTACTCAATATTATATTTTATACTGTCAATTAACTTAAAACTCTATATAATAGCAGTAATAACAATACTACTACCTATATTAAAATAATAATTAATATACTATAAATTATATAAACAATAATATAATTAATTATAGGACTTACCACTAATAATATAACTTTTTAAAGTACAATTCGCTAATTTAATTAACAATATAGTACGGTAGCCAAAATTAAACCTCTTATTAACGTAATAAATAACCTACTCCTTTTTAACTACTAAATACATCTCTTTTAAATACGTAATAATTATAATCTACTACGAGAAGTAGCTACAAAACTTCTCAAATACGGTATTAAAATCCTTAATAATATACATATAATAAATATACTTCTAAAAAGTATAAAGTCTAAACTATAAATACTCTATAGTATTAAATATTAATTCTAATTAATCCGTATTATCTACTAAATGGTTAAAGCTATTAACTACCTCTTAATCCTCATTATTAAACTCTTCAAAACTCGCTATATTATTAGAATATACTAATATAGGGTAGACTAATATTAATACCGATATTTCTTACTATATTTATATTTGTATAACAATAGTATAAGCATTAATAACCTAAGCGGCGACCTTCTTATCCTACTTATACTTAATATTCAATACTATATTTTTATTAACATAAAAAATATAAAACTAAGACTACGCCTAAGGATAGACTCGTTTAATAATTAACTTTATTATTATATTATAATCTATAATAGTAACTTATAGTCTACTAACAGTAATAACTTCACAATAAATATTAATTTAATCTATAAACTAATTAAATCCCTCCTACCGTTCGTTATCAACCAACCTAAAACCGTAATTAAAAATATAGCCGACCCCAACTATACTAATAACTTAAAAAAAGGCTAGGCCTTTATTATTAATTTTATACGTATTATCGTACATCTAAACCTAAGGATTTTCCTTCTACATCTACTCTCCCTATAAATTATTTTAAAAAAGGGTAATTAATTTAATTTTAATAATATTTTATTAATTAACTTTAAAGTAAACCCCCTTTTCTATAAAAAATTTTATAGTAAATTAAAATGGGTTATACCCAACTTATACCTCCTTTTTAAATTTATAATAAAGGTTAATAAACTACCGTTAATTAAATTACCTATAAATCTCTAGAAATTTCTTCTCCAATTCGCTAGTAATCTCGCAATTAAATATACCTAATCAATTAATATAAGTAACGACAAATATCTTATACTCAACTTTAAATACCAAATAAATTAATAATTTTTTACTAGGCGGATAGCTATAAAATTCATTACTATATTGAAATTCGAAAGTCCACCGTCGGTCATTACACTTCAATACCTTAGCATACCCCTACTAAAAGCATCCTT